TAAGAATGAACAAAGTGTACCTTCTCTAGTTCCTGTAATTCAACTGTTTAACAAAAAAAAAGGAATTAGAATGAACAAAATGTACCTTCTCTAGTTCCTGTAATTCAACTGTTTAACAAAAAAAAAGGAATTAGAATGAACAAAATGTACCTTCTCTAGTTCCTGTAATTTAACTGTTTAACAAAAAAAAAGGAATTAGAATGAACAAAATGTACCTTCTGTAGTTCCTGTAATTTAACTGTTTCACAAAAAAAGGAATTACAATCAACAAAATGTACCTTCTCTAGTTGCTGTAATTCAACGGTTTAACAAAAAAAGGAATTAGAATGAACAAAATGTACCTTCTCTAGTTCCTGTAATTCAACGGTTTAACAAAAAAAAAAGGAATTAGAATGAACAAAATGTACCTTCTCTAGTTGCTGTAATTCAACTGTTTAACAAAAAAAAAAGAAATTAGAATGAACAAAATGTACCTTCTCTAGTTCCTGTTCCAGTTTTTCTACTTGGTTACTCATATAGTTTGCATACACCTGTTCTTCAGGAGTACCAATCAAGGGAGCATTTTTGTGCCACCTGCTAATAGCTGCCGACATCTTCCTCTTCGGACCAATGAGCCTCAATAAAGAAAGAGATGAAACTTTCAGCTCACACTAAACACAGATTAGCAGAAAAACAGTCTCACTGTATCCTAAAAACTGTTTTTGCCTTAGAATAAAAAGAGAATTAACTAAAGATCTTGTGTTTACTTCTACTGGCCAGTATGTACTGTTTTTTATCTTGAAAGTATGTATAATTACATATTATTCAAATCCTATTTAAGTATGGGTGACTAAAAGAAAAGCTTATTCTCTAGTTAATGCTTAGACTATTAATTTCTACCAAACCTAGTTTCTAACTTACAAGTACCAATTTTTGTTAAGTTGTCTACAACATAAGAGAATGAAATAAACCTAACTTTAACAAATGTATTTTTAATATACTGTGTCTACTTTCTATAGTATGATTTAAATAAAAAAAGTTAACTTTACCAGTAATAGTATAACTTGAGTCTAATTAAACACCGTCTCACTATCTTGCCTACCACCTGCAGTGTGTTTACGCTCTATATCTACAGAAACTAATGCAGAAAAATTGACATACTTGATTCCTGCTTTCTCGAGATCGCTTTCATCCAGTGTTAAAAACACATCCAAATCAATATCCTGGCTTTCCAAAACTGGATAGTATTTTGACAAACCAATGTTATTCAAAAAAGCCTTCAAGTCAGCAGGATATGGCATGGACAGTGAGTTTTCTAATGAAAAGAGAAATACTTATTCATTATTCCAGAGTGTAATTTAGTTTGAGAACAGGTGTTGAACTATCAGATCGGCAGCTTCATGATTGAATTAACTCTAGATATATTTGTATCAGATAAGGAGTGTTTCATATACAAAAGAAAACACAACTTTAACCTTCAAAATTACGAACATATTTATAGTCTGTTCATTACCAGTGACTCCACCAGAATGAATCTTTGTTACAACATTCAGTGTAAGGAACTAACCATAAATATTATGTGAAATCACTTTCTACGTATAATACGTATGAAACTAGTCAGCAATCAGTAGAAACAATTGTAATATTGAAAATAACCACTAAAGTCATAGACCCAAGCAACTTGGTACATTAATAGTTTAGAAAAGTGTACTTAAAAACCAAACGAGGTCCACATGTAACCCCATCAATAATTCCATGGTTAGTAAATCTTCAAGAGTTAAGACAATAAGCAATCTTACATAATAATAATAATCAAGTATAATTAGAGCCAATTAATTATTAAAACATGATATTTTCAATGTTATTGTAGTAGATGTTATTTCTCACTATTCAAAGTTCATTTATTACCAGTTTAGTAGAATTAGAAACACTAACAAAAAAAACCAAGATGCTTATAAAAAAAAATTAAATACAGACTAATGCAACCTATCTTTGCAGATATTTTGTCTTCAAGTTTAACTGCCAGGGAACTAGAACATAAAACGTCAACATAATCCAGCTGTTGTCGAGTAAATTCCTAGTATAAATAGTGTCTCAACCATTACTATGTCCATTGTATCGCACTTAGTCTGAAGATCCCTAACATTACACAAAAGGCCTCTTCCGTGCCCTCACTCAAATGTTCTTATTAATAATTATTTGCCAGAAAAGTAAAGTTATTTTGGGAATTGTTTTTCAGCAGTCCAACTAACTGGCTTAATTCTATACATAACACTATATAAAAATATAATATCTACCATAAACTCTGAACATTTGTGATTCATTAGTTATGACATATGCATGAAGAAAGCTAAGTATTCCAACCCCAGTTATTGTGAATACTCGATATACAAGTGTTTTCGATAATTAGGTTTCTTTCCAATATAATCATTATAACACCCGATAATTTCTAAACTTTCTAATTGCTCTATACAATATATATGTAGGGTGGATAATTATGAATATTACATAAATATTCTAATTATCTTATCTAATTCTGGAGAATATCTTAATCTGTTCTATTGAATAACTTGCTAAGTTATGTATTTTATGTGGTATTTTCAATAGCTTTGAACAATATTTAAAACTGACTTATATTTGAACCAGACTTCTACACAAAACTTACTCTATGAAGAACAAACCTATAGGGTTTTCAGGAATATCCTTTTCAAGTATAGGATTCTGACACATTTTTCTTGAAAAAATAAATTCTGAAACTAATCAACAAAGGGTAAAATATTCTAGAAACTAACATATAAAATCCATTATCTAGAATGCTGCATGGGAGAGATGCATGTTTGGATTCCACGGATCAGTGGTTCCTAACCTGTTGACTACGAGAGATGAATATTTGGATACCACAGATCAGTGGTTCCTAACCTGTTGACTATGAGAGATGAATAGTTGGATACCACAGGTCATTGGTTCC